TTTAATTATCAGTCTAGACATTTCTACCTGAAGCGATCTTGAGATTTATTTAAAAAAATCGTTGCATACTTATAGTGAGGTATGTAAAGGTATATATTATTATTATTATTATTTTTTTTTAGTATTGTGTTTCTCGAAATACTTAAGATATTTCGGTATAATGAAGATCACGGGCCTAAGCCAAGTGAGCTTCATTTTCTACTTGCAGAATATTTAGGTTTTCCTGCAAGAATTGACGGACTATACGGCATGTGTATTATTATTATTATTATTATGTAAAGGTATGCAAAAATTTCAGTGCTTCTGATGGATGTTGAGAAAGGGTAGCGGTAACTTGAAGAAGGTGAGTCAAAATGCAGTGACACTCACTTCATTGTGCCAATGAGTTCTAGTTACGATATGACCGATGTGGGTTCGTTCGTGTCAATGGCGATAAAAAAATGACAAAGCTGTTTTTTATAGCGATATTGTGAGCGCAATGCTTCATAAATTTCTCAATCGCAAAATGGCCACAGAACGAACGCAAAGTTTAAACATTTGCTTCCCTCCACATCTGTTCGTAAGTTTCTATGAAATTTTCTTTGTAGTTGCAAAGACATATTTCTCTTGAGACGCTTTCAACGCGTTCTTCAAATGTGTGGTAGCGCACAATTCAAGCGCGGACAAACTTATATTAGACTTCGAAAATTTCGTTTCACTTTTGTAATGCAATTACGAACTGTTGCTGACTTTCAAATCATTTATTTTATTACATTGATTGCACTGGGATAGGATTGTGTCTTACGGCGACTTTGCTTAGATTAATTATTCTATTTTTATTTAACTAAATTAAAATCAACTAAAAAAAAGCGTATGATCTATATCTCTTATTTTTAACATGATATAATCGGTATCTAGATTCCGCTTACTATTATAATTAAAGTAATTATAAACACGCAGGGTCAGTCTGTCATATTACTCGTGGGCTCGTCCGTGTGCGTGTGTGTGCGTGTGCGTGTGTGTGTGTGTGTGTGTGTGTGTGTGTTTGTGTCTGTGTTATTTGTTTATATCTGAATTTTTATTATAATGGTTTTACCTAATTCTGAGATGAGAGGAAGAGGTAGACCTAAGAAGAAATGGATGGATTGCATGAAAGACAATATGTGTAAGAGGGGAGTGAGCGAAGAAATGGTATTTGATAGAGGAGTATGGAAGGAGAAAACAGGTTGCGCAAAACCCAAATGACTGGGAGAAGGGTAGGAGAATGATGATGGTTTCACCCAATTCTTTTATATGAGTATAAGTAAGTCCAGTTGTCAAATTTAAGTAGACCGCAGATTACTTCTTTCCTCCAACATTTTTGCTTGTCTGACGACTCTCTGCAGATGTTTTTCTTGTCTAAAATTAAGCTTACGTATGTATAATAAGGGCTACTAATGAAATGTATCGTGTGTGTTTAAAGTAGACTATGTTTTATTGTACGTCAATACGAGAACAACATAAAACATTAAAAACAAGAGTATAATTGGCGATGTTATCGCTAGGAGAAATCTGTTCCAGACGATCATTAGGTTGATACGTTGAAATTAACTGCCATGTACTTATCGATTGAAAAATAATATACATGGAATTATCATCATTAATGATTATAGGGGTGAAAGGGGTGAAAGGGGTGAAAGGTTACTATTTTTTTTTTTTTTCCTTCCTAAGCTGATAGCCTTAGGGGCTATTTCAGCGTAACCCTAACGTTTGTAGGTGAGCTCACGGGGCTCAAACCTGATGACGTTGCTAACACGAACCCTAGCAAGAGCCGTGCTTCGCAGAATCTACCACCGGATTGGAAACGCGACCCACTGAGAAGATCCGGCGAGAAACTCAGTGGGCTGTGTCTGAGAGTTAATTTACTCGTCGAGCCCTTCGTCGCAAGCGAAGGGTTCGANTCAGCGTAACCCTAACGTTTGTAGGTGAGCTCACGGGGCTCAAACCTGATGACGTTGCTAACACGAACCCTAGCAAGAGCCGTGCTTCGCAGAATCTACCACCGGATTGGAAACGCGACCCACTGAGAAGATCCGGCGAGAAACTCAGTGGGCTGTGTCTGAGAGTTAATTTACTCGTCGAGCCCTTCGTCGCAAGCGAAGGGTTCGACGAGAACGGGTTATTTGGTTTGAGCGATATTTCGCTTAACAAGAGACATTTATCTTTGTAATAGAGCTTTAGTTTTATTTGTTCTTAGCAACAAAAATTCGATATTTTTAATTGAGCTTTAATATAGTGGGGAACTTTTATTTAAGTTAGATGGGTGGACGAGCTCACAGCCCACCTGGTGTTAAGTGGTTAGTGGAGCCCATAGGAATCTACGACGTAAATGCGCCACACACGTTGAGATATAAGTTCTATGGTCTCAGTATAGTTACGACGGCTGCCCCACCCTTCAAACCGAAACGCATTACTGCTTCACGACAGAAATAGGCAGGGTGGTGGTACCTACCCGTGCGGACTCACAAGAGGTCCTACCGCCAGTAATTACGCAAATTATAATTTTGCGGGTTTGATTTTTATTACACGATGTTATTCCTTCATCGTGGAAGTCAATCGTGAACATTCGTTGAGTACGTATTTCGTTAGAAAAATTGGTACACGCCTGCGAGATTCGAACACCGGTGCATCGCTAGATACAAATGCACCAGACGTCTTATCCTTTAGGCCACGACGACTTTACTTTACTTATACTATAAAATTGAGATTTAAATGTATGCCCCAAGATGGGTTGGTGGCATTTACATTATTGATGTCCATGGACTCCCGTGACCACTTGACACCAGGTTGACGGCCAACTCGTCCGCTCATATAAGATGTAAAAAAAACACGTGTGGTACTCGTGGACTGCCGCGGTAAAGCTATTGGATAGCATTTTTTATCAACTTATGCAATTATAATTAGACAATAATTTAATATTAAGACAATAATGAAATAAGACCACGCTATATTTACAAACATTAACAAAAGCAAAATATTAACTGTCCCCTTCACACTCATAAGCTAGGCCGCGCGCTTATTCACAAACACTACACAAGCGCAACGCGTGAATGTGTTGAGCGCGAGTAATGGTAGGCGGAGTAAGGGTTGTTAGGTTTTATTTTCGTTACGGAATTTCTGGTTTCAGTCGCCGCGCTCAAAGCCCGTAATAAAAGCTATGCAATAGTTTAACAAGTAAAAAATTCAGAGCGTTACAGCAACACGTTATATTCACAAATCACTGGTTTATGTTTTATTACACTTATCTCTTCTCTACCTACGCTTTTTCTACTTTTATTCAATGTACACTTCATGTTCAATGTTAATTCTATTGTTTGATATACTATGTAATATTATCTTTTAATACATTATATTTTAATACAGATTCTGTAAGGGTTTTTGCATGTTTGATGTTCGGTAACGATTTACCTTTTGCTTACATAAGCTAATTAAGTTTATGAAGCTTCAGCTTAGGAACGGAAGGCGCTAGACTTAAAAAAGATGTAAGGGATATAGGTCCCGAGGGAAATCTTTTTCTTTCTACGCTTATTGGCTAATGTTTCTCAATATCTTGAATGAATGTTCAAAAAAAACCATAATATAATTTTAATTTATTTTTTCCATCACAAATCCTTGCCTAACTTAGCTGGTTTTTTCTAAATTTTTCTAGCCAGTGCTAATATTTTCTAATATTGCTATATTTTAAGCACTAAGGACATTATATTTTTGCGTATAGTCACTACTATAGTATCTGTACCCGCGAAGGTTTCTAAGGTACTGTAGTCATATCTTATACCTTTAAACGAGCAATTCTTGTATTTTTTTTTTATTTTTTTTTATTGCCTTTGTAGTCATACGGCCCACCTGATGGTGAGTGGTTACCGTCGCCCATGGACTTCAGCAATGCAAGGGGCAGAGCCAAGTCGCTGCCTACCGGAAATTGTATATTAATATATATATTGTAATTGTATATTAATATATACTTATATAATCTGAATCTCGGAAACGGCTCCAATGATTTTTATAAAATTTAGTATACATGGGATTTCGGGGGCGATAAATCGATCTAGCTACGATTTATTTTCAGAAAATGTTGTTTAATTCGTGTTTTCAATAATCACTTTATGACTCTTCCCGACATCTGTTGGCGAATAATAATACTATTTTTCTTAATTGAGAGAAACTAACTGCTTTAGAGACACGACAAGATGGCGTTATAAAAAAAAAACGAGCAAAGCACGGTCATCATCGGGTTTATGATTTTTTTTTTTTTTTTTTTTTTTTTTTGTTAGGTTCNCTTTGTCGGCAAATGTTCCACGAACACAAAAATAACTAAAACAAAACAAATAAAAGCTTCCAGGAAACACACTTGGTCGGCAGATGTATCACGAACACAGGCCGCGCGAACAATGGCCGGGCTAACAAAAGCCGGGCGAACAAAGACCGGGCGATCGAGTGGACGATGAGCACGTCCGCACGTGACGGGTGCCTCTATCGAATGTTGGTTTATGATTTATTGAGATGTCGATATGCGTCATTACGAAAAAAAAACTCACAATGTGGTTCCTGCGAATTTTCGTCTAATTCCTACTCATCTCTGTATTTAAGAAATGATCTAAACCAGACATTCGGTGTCTGTTCCGATACGTACCTAACTAAATTTGTAGAACCTTTTATTGTACGCTACAAATAATTAATTGAAAATTAACGGCCGTCTGGTGTAGTGGTGAGTGACATGGTCACTACACAAGGGGGTCGCGAGTTCGAATCCCGCCAAGGGAAGATATTTTATGATAAATATAAAATGTCTTTTCCAGGGTTATGGATGTATATTAAATATATGTATGTGTATAGTAAAAATCTTTAATTTATTTCCGTTATCCGGTACCTGTAACACAAGTTCTTTACGAACTTAACACGGGACCATTTAACGTGGCGTGATTGTTAGTAAATATTTATTATTTAGTATTTATTTATTTATTGAATATTTTTCTATTCTTTAGGCGGCTCGATGGCGTAGCTCACAATTTGAAGCTGGTCAACGGCAGGTATTCCGCAGTAGCCTCCGTGACCCTCAACGATGCCGACCTTCCCTCCCCGGCGGAGTTCATCTGCACGCTGAGGATAACACAAGCGAACTATGCTGTTAGAAAAGAATCTATATACTATCCAGGTAAATAAATTTAAGTTTTTTTATTGTCTTAGCCGAGTATTCATTTATTTATTTTAATGGAGATCGAGGACTTGAGCAGTACCGGTCCCCTTGTCTCTGAACTATTACGTCATACGTGGTGTATTGTTTAGTTGACGTTGGAGACCTGAATCTCACACTGTTCCAGTAGACTACACACTCCGGTAATACCTGATTAATCAGCTCGCTGAATTTCTCGCCGGATCTTCTCGGCGGGTCGCGATTTCGATCCGGTAGTAGATGCAGTCGAGAAGCAGCTGTCCTTGACCTGTTAGGTGTCCCTTTACGCCCGGGCAGCTGTTAGCAAATCCCTATCCCTCATGGCTGAGCCACAAGTAATATTTCCTTCCAAAAAACCTGATTAAATACTAATAAAAAAGAACAAAATTTTCCAAATATTTCCATATGACGTTAATCAGGTTGCGTCTAGATTACGATATTAATCAAATACCATCTGGCCCATCTTCACTCCGTCCATCCATCCCGGATCCATTGCTTATTTTGAAAAAAAAAAAAAACGAAAGCCGACAAAGAAATTTACTTGAATAATTTGCGAGCTTCCTGCCCACTTAAGCTTTTTATCAACGGAGTTTGTGTACGCAGCGATGTAAAGTCCACAAAGTATACTCGAAGACCGAGTTAATTATTTTTTGCTTTTTAATTCCATTATGAAGTAAAGGATCTTATTCATGACAGAAAGGCGGCTTTAATAATATAATAATAATAATAAACCTTTCTTTATTCCACACAAAAATACTTAATTACAAACAATTTGAACGTACATTAATGGTTTTATTTATTTATTTTATTTATTAAAAAGTAAAAAAAAAAAAATTTTAAGTTTAAAAAGTTAATTAAGAAGTTAGTTTACGATTAAAAAGTTAGTTTCTTTCTTATATTAATTTTAATATTATTTACATTATTTCTGTATGGACCCCCTTCGGGTAAAAGCCTCCTCTATGGTACCCCACTTCTTATCCTTGGCGGTGTTCAGCCAATCTTTACCAGCCACTGTTATAATTTCGTCTACCCACCTGGCGTACGGGCGGCCTTTAGTTCTCTTTCCTCGTGGACCTATCCACACGACCGATCTTTTTGTCCAAAGGCGGCCTTGGAGTCGACCTAATGTTAGGAGCTATAACGATACTACGATATGAACATCATCCAACCATCTTAACAGTTAAGGTCGAAAGTGTCAATTGCCTGATATTTATTTTGGTCCATATTATAATAGTTGGTGGGTCCATATTAGCATAGTCCATATTTATTTTCCATGTGTTTTTGTTTGTCGTACTTTCACGTTGAAAGACGTGACGTGACATTTCACGTTGACTTGATTTTTATTAAAGTGATAGCATTAGGTCAAGATAATTTTTCTAATGAAATACGTACTTAACAAATGTTCTCGATTGAATTCCACGGTGAAGGAATAACATCGTGTAATAAAAATCAAACCCGTAAAATTATAATTTGTCTAATTTCTGATGGTAGGATTTCTTATGAGGTGAGTCCGCATGGGTAGGTACCACCATCTTTAGGCCATGGCCAGATTTTGCGACCTGGTCATGGCGTTCCGCGAGGCTGAGGAGCGCGAAAGGGAGTGGACCCTCTTCGGCTCCTCAGCGAAGAAGGCGGGGTGGGCGACGCGGGCACGATGCTCCCGTTAATCTCTCGTAGGGACTGTTGGGTACTGGGTGCGGGGGCGCCCGGTGCTCTGCTGTCGGTTCCGTGGTGAGGCGGCGCAAGGTGGCTCCTATGCGCCACTCACGGTGTCTCCCGAGACGACGTCCTGCGGGATCTTCCCGGGGATTGGATCCCGTCCTATTGTCAGGATGGGTACCGGCGACGGCGAGCCTGCGGCGCGCATTGTGCGGTACCGTAGGTTTCGTGGAGTCGGAGTGGTGGAGCTCGATGGGGTTTAGTCGGTAGTCGGTTTTGCGGGGCGGGTCCTGCGTGGTAGACGCCGCGCANGCGTTAAAAAAAAAAAAAAAAGGTACCACCATCTTGCCTATATCAGCCGTGAAGCAGTAATCGGCAAGCATTTCGGTTTGAAGGGTGGGGCAGTCGTTGTAACTATACTGAGACCTTAGAACTCATATCTCAAGGTGGGTGGCAGCATTTACGTTGTAGATGTCTATGGGCTCTGGTGACCACTTAACACCAGGTGGGCTGTGAGCTCATCCTCTCCATGCAACAAATAAAAAAGACGAGTTACATAAGCTACTTTTTATCCCGAAAAAAGACTTGAAACTACATTTTCACCTTTTCTGATATTGTTCATTGGCCGCGCGGGCGAAGCTGCAAGTAACAGCTAGTTACTCTATAAAAATAGCTAGAATGACGTAAAACCAACAAAAATCCATTGCAAAATAAAATCAACAAGTATTTATATGCGATAACGTTTCCGGTCAAGGCTTTTTTCCTGTATGAATCTGAACGATAGATTAATTATGATGGAGTGGATCTGCTTACAATACTCCCGAAGGTCTCGAGTTAATTTACTTCTAAGAAAATCTCATATCTTCATATTTTCTCTTGGTACAATAAAAGTTTTTGTATACATAAAACAAGGAAAATCATATTCATTTACATTAATTACTGTACTAATTTATTACGGAATGGAACTAATTTATTAAGTAATGTTACATTACATGTAAAAGTCATGTGATATAAGACATAAGTTTGACTAACCTTAGTGTCAGAAGTCTTTATTGTACGATAAAATTATTGTCTACGAAATTTATTGTAAGATAAACTTGACTAGAGCCACAATAAGAGTGAATATTTAAAAAAAAAGTTGAATTTCAAGCCAAGCGAACAGCTCACCTGACGTCAATTGGTAACTGAAGTCATTGATGTTACAGCTTAACACATTCCTAAGGCATTGGATTCCAACACTTCTTACTGCGCACTTTTTCGCACGGGTAGGTACCACCACCCTGCCTATTTCTGCGTTGAAGCAGTAATGCGTTTCAGTTTGAAGGGTGGGGTGGCCGTTGTAATTACACCGAGACTTTAAAACTCATATCTTAAGGTGGGTGGCGCATTTACGTAGATGTCTATCGGCTCCAGTAACCATTTAACACCAGGTGGGCTGTGAGCTCGTCCATCCATCTAAGCAATAAAAAAAATGTAAGTAAGTATACTAGTAGATACTTTACAAGTCTCAAAAGTTGCTTTAAGCAAAACAAAGAACGACCTTCTGTAATTAGAGCCACAAAAATTATCGATTTTCGTAATTGCTGGCTGAAAATTGTGGGTCCGCACCGCTCTTATAAAAAGTCGTTTTTATTTCCACAACGAAACATTAGGTATTCCGTTCTTGTTTGAAAGTATAGTTTTAAATCAGTTACGCTAACTTGCATTCATTTCACATTGTAAGTAAATTTTGGAACGAAGTTCCTTATGAGACGATGCGGACGGGTACCCTAACCGGGAAAAAACGTCCGTAACGTAAGATTTTTTCTGATATCAACTGGGGTAACTTGTCTAATTTCTGTCACATAGGTCCTATCAGCACAACTCCCGAGATGCCAACAGCGGCCGACATGCAGCTTGCGGCCGCCGTAGGATCAAAAGGTAATGATGACAATAAGTTACAATAATAATATTATTATAAAACCTTTTATTTCCCATCACCTAAGTATTCTTAAATAATATATGATTTTTACATCTTTTTTTTTATATTATATTTTTTTCTTTATTCTTTTTTATTTCATTTGCCTACATCAAATTTTTTCTTCGATAGGAACCTCATTTGGGTATAGGCCTCCTTTAGCTTAACCCAATTTTCTTTGTTCTTAGCACGTTTCATCCAAGAGTAATAAACTTTTGGCTTGTCTTACACTAATACATAGATTATATTTATGTATTGCAAATTTTAATTTACAGTCGCATATCAATTCCCTTCTGTAGTATTATTTCTAAAGCAATCCGCGAAGTATTTATTATAGTTTGTAAGTCAATTACAATTTCATTTTACAGGAACAAATATCTACACGGCACTCAGCATATTCTTGCTGCCGGCTTTCATTCCAGCACTCTTATAAAGTTTGAAGACGACGAAGTTATGAAACAACCCTATAAAATTCCGTGCTCGTGTGACAAAGCTAATGTGACATTTAGATGTCGCGTGTAAATTGATCTTTTATTTACTTCAGCAAGCGTTCTCAATTACGAATGTACATTAGAATTGAAATGAGAAAAATGTATAATATTGAATTGGAATATTGTCGTGACTAAAGGCAATAAGCTTGTAACCGTTAAGTTTAAATCTTTTCAAAGTCATTTGTACGTAAGGTGAAGTGTGTTCACGGGTGCTCACCGTTTTAAATTGTTCATAACGCGGCATTTTTTCAAATTTCAAAGTCTCCACAAACGTTTTGTACCAAAGTGTTTTTTTTTTTGTTTGAATTCGATGGCGGTGACGTAATTCGAATTTCTAGTCGGAATACCCAAAGTGAAATTTTAATAGATCCTATTTATTTCGTATGCGCAACGTACAATCGTTCCCTCGTCCAAAGCACTGAAGCTGCCGTGCGAATAAAATAGCTTTACGTGTCTTAAATTAAGATTAATACGGTTTTAAGAATTACGACCACCGATGTTGTAAATAAACTGGAATCAGCATCATTTAAATACGTACATACGTATGTTTCCATATAGAATAAATACAAAGAAAGGCTCTGGAAGGCCGCTTAAAATACTTCAAAGTGAAACATGGTTTCGTTTAAAAGCATTATTATTATACCTGAAAAATGTCTACTATTAGTCTTAATTAAAATTTCTTTTACGGTTTATATATTATTATAGCGATCGTTATTTTTTTTCGCATTTCTTTTCAATGTCTACAAACTTTTTTTATAGAGAACTAGCTTTTGCCCGCTACTTCGTCCGCGTGGAATAGTTACTTTGGCATAACGCTAAATTTTACCCACGACATCATTTACAGTACTCAGAATTGGAACTTCATTACTGAACCGGTAGATGGCGTTGAAGAAGCTAGATTTTGTGATTTTTTGACAAAAAATTTTTTAATGTATTGTAAAAAAAAATTTTTTTTCTTAATAAAGAGTATCCTATGTTACTACTAATACCTCCAAGAATATGTGTACAAAGTTTCATGACGATCGGTTGAGTATTTTTCGCGTGAAAGCGTAACAAACTGTGGGGGACTCACATTTTACATTTATATATTAGTAGGGATTAGAAGGTAGCTTTGAGAGGCTATGTCAGCGTAACTGGGCGATTAGTTCACGGGGCTCAAATCTGGAGTGTTGCTAACACTGGCTCTAGCAAGAGCAGTGCTTCGCAGAATCTACCACCGGGTCGGAAACGCGACCCACTGAGAAGATCCGGCGAGAAACTCAGTGGGCTGTGTCTATGGGTTGATTCACTCGTCGAGCCCTTCGTCACAAGCGACGGGTTCAACGAGGACGGTGACCGGAGCTTGTGGTACCTAAAAGCACCTTTAATAGTTCGGGAGGATCCGTAATGACGTTTAAGCCTGAATAAAACCTTAACCCTTCGTGACCACGAAAACTGTAAAGCAGTCGAAACATATAAAACAATAAAATTAAAATAACAAATGCGAGACTAAACCGTAAAAGTAGTTTTAATTATGTCTATTACTCACGAAAACCGTACAAAATATTTATTCATAATCGAAATGAGTTATCGTAGTTATATAAGCCCGTTATAAATACAATGTGAAAAAATCTTTACTGGTGGTAGGACCTCTTGTGAGTCCGCGCGGGTAGGTACCACCGCCCTGCCTATTTCTGCCGTGAAGCTGTAATGCGTTTCGGTCTGAAGGGTAGGGCAGCCGTTATAACTATACTGAGATCTTACAACTGATATCTCAAGGTGGGTGGCGCATTTACGTTGTAGATGTCTATGGGCTCCAGTAACCACTTAACACCAGGTGGACTGTGAGATCGTCCACCCATCTAAGCAATAAAAAAATCTATAACGTTATCAAGTAGTTGTATTTTAACGGGCTTGTAAATCTTTGATAACTAATTATGAATAAATATTTGAAATTGAGAATTGTATTTTAATAGCTGCCAGAGTTAATAGTCTCGTAAGAGTGCGAAAGGTGTCCATGGGCAGTGATGTGAGATTCTTTACACAGCACACTGCAGATGCACGAAATTTGGATTTACTGAAACAATTGGCTGTAGAGCATTGTCACATATAGGTAGTTTTTCAATTGCAGCACAAGAGCGCATTATGCGGCATAATGCTCAACGTTGAATGTTCCAACTACAGCAACGCTTCGCACAATCGAGCACTCTCAAAAGTACTGCTCTCGCGTGATACTCGCGATCGATACCGACTCAGTGACAGAAAATTGACAAGTGTTTTTTCTTTAAGTTGGCATTGATCGAAATTTTGTTTATATTATCGTTAGTAATATTATTTAATGTTGCAAAAAATTGTAAGGCTTTCGTTTCGTCGTAGTTTCTTAGAAATAATCAAATGTTAATTAAAACTGTGCTAACTTAGCGCACTCTGCTGATGCATTTGAAAACTAATTCACGTTCCAATTAAGGTTCAATATAATTCGGCATTGTGCGTCACTGAGTCACATTATGCTCTGTAATTGGAAAACTACCATAGTTGTCGATTTATTTGTAATTCAGGATATGAAGCGCATATTTATTTTAAAAAAAATCACAAGAACTGAAAAACTAGATGTAGATGCGGCTTAAATATTTATTTGTGAAACGAAAGAACCCGACTTACAAAAGTTAATGTAAATAAATTGTTTGTCCTTCTTGTGAAGAATTTGTACAGTTTCATTGTAGCTAGTTTTTATGGGACAGAGGCCTAATGACGGAGTAAATCGTAATTCACATCCAAATTTATTTATTATAGTATTTAATATTAAATGGGCAAAATGTAAATCGTGACATAATATATAAGGAATTACGTGATTTTTACTCAAATATAATTAATTTTATTTTATCCCCATTTTTGTGATTTAATTATGAGGTAATTACTGAATAAGGTTTTTTTTTACCTTAAGCAGTAATCGCTACCTTTACAAGAAGTATATAAGATATTTATTTCAATTATATCAATATATTTATTTCAAGGAGAAGCAACAGCAATAGATTACATGAGTTTTTGAGTATATTCATTTATAGAGTTTATGAATTTAGTGAATATTGAAATTAGTGGGCGAATTTGACAATATAATAGTATTTTCTAAATAAATAGTATTAATTTTTTGCGCATCGTCATACGTCAAATATTATTTGATAAATCACGCTAATTCCCATTTTCTGTCATGATAATTACCTTTTAAAATTAATTATATCTAGTTAAGTTTTTTCCAAAGAATATTTTAATAATATTTTGACAGTTAAGTTTATACATATTTATTTTGCGGCTTGAATTGAAAAGTGATGACGCAAAATGGAATATGCATGGAATGTACCAAAAGAAGTTTTTAATAAATTAATATTATATTTAAGATTTATATGTTTTTTTTATAAATTTAAGTTGATTTTATGATTTCACGGGATGGTAATGTTTTTTACAGTCGACGAAATCTGACTTAGACTATCGCGTGAAATCTCTTAAAATGAATGATGTATGTGTTATTTAGCATAAAATCCCTAATAAACTTTTATCGAATATTTACCAACTCCCGGGGTATATATGAGGCAGTTGGCGCAAATGTGTCCTAAGCTTATCATAGTTAATATGGAGATAATGAGGTTGGAATTTACTTTAATACTGGCAAAAACAATACTCGCAAAAATAATTTTTACAAAGCCATCTGTTCTCTATGGATAAGACTATCGATAGGCCAGTTTTGCATCAAAATTTATTATCTTTTAAATAAATTGCAATATATAAGCGCGAATATAAAAAATTGTGGGTTAGGCCACTTTTGCGCCGACCGCCTCATATAGGTCAATCAATCGGTTACATATAATCAAGGGATAGTTTCCGTAACGTAATCACAGTAATTTTGTTCTTAAATGTTGAAGAGTTAAAGCTGATAGCAAAATAAAATTTACGATATATTTTTATTTATTTGATTTGATATTTTTTATTGTCTTAGATGGGTGAACGACCTCATGGCTTAACTTAAATTCGAGTTATCGAAATCCATAGACAAGACAATAGCTAAGAGTCTAAGTCTTACTGCATAAGCTATTCCACACCTCAAACTCGACCGCATGACTGCTTTACAGCCGGAATAAGCAGGATTGTTGTATCTACCCGTACTGGCTCAATACGACCTATCAACAGTTTCATAGCTGTATCTGGGCAGACCAGCACACGGCCCGCCTGGTGTTAAGTGGGCGCTGCGTTATCGTTGTCGACATAGCGTTGTCGATCGCTTGCAAACGTCACCAATTTTTTTTTTTGTCTTAAACAAAACATGTCACCCTACTTCGTTTGTAAGGGCCACTTTGTAAATATTTGTACGAATTATGATCACGTAAATAATAATAAGATTTTTATTTGTACTAAATGTATTTCGCTGTGCATACTGCTGTTAATGGATAAGATCCATTCGAGACTTTATTGTGAGATTTCCAAAAAAAAAAAAGTTATGATTAAAAATGGATCGTTGTGTATTCTTTTGTTTTATTTTGACATCCACACAACCTCGTGGGCTTCGTAGCACCGTATTACGTATTTTCTATTAATGTAGAAGCTAGACGATGTAGACAACAGCTCAATAATTCCAGCCGCAATAANGCTGTTAATGGATAAGATCCATTCGAGACTTTATTGTGAGATTTCCAAAAAAAAAAAAGTTATGATTAAAAATGGATCGTTGTGTATTCTTTTGTTTTATTTTGACATCCACACAACCTCGTGGGCTTCGTAGCACCGTATTACGTATTTTCTATTAATGTAGAAGCTAGACGATGTAGACAACAGCTCAATAATTCCAGCCGCAATAAATGATGTCTTTGAAGAACAATATCCTGAGTCCGTGCAGGTAGGTGCTACTATCATATCTGTCTTTTTTTTAATTGCCCTTGTAGGCAGACGAGCATACGGACACCTAATTGTGAGTGGTTACCGTCGTCCATGGACTACAGCAATGCCAGGGAAGAGCCATGTCGCTGCTACTGCCTGTCTCTGTTATTAAGCAGCGCGTCCCGGATTGAGAGGACATCGGTCTCTCGATATTTCTACGGGCTTCAGATAATACTTGGAATCAAGCGAGCGATGAGTTCTTTTATAAGAGCAATCGATACCAAGCTTTTGATAAAAAAGAAAACTGGCTTCAGAAAATATTCTAGTCAATTAAATATACATTATCAAGTTTAACTCAAAATCTACTTGGTTAGATTTTGATAAAATTAATACGTAATTGGTGATCACATGAGGAGCACCAGCCGTTAATTTAAAAAAAATCTTCAAAATCGGTTCATATACATAAAAGTTCTGACGTAACACATAAAAATAATACAATCGAAACGATAACCCCCTCCTTGGTTTTGAAGTAGGTTAAAAATTAAAGTATATCCAAGCATGTTCCACTGTGATTCTTTATAAAGACTTATTGTATGCAGAAGAGATTATAGCTCTCCTGAATCGGCAATCTAGCACTAATTCACTGCCGTAATCATATATTGACCTTGATATTTGAAGTCGAAGTCTCACATATGCCCCACCCTAAATGGAACAGCATGACGTGACTAAAACAGATAGGAAGTAAGCACCCGTATGGTCCCTCAAAATGCCATTACACCAATTAAACTTTTAAACTAAAAGAATCGCGAACAATCCAGAAATCTATAAACCTAAATTTACACAACT